ATAGATAGATAGATAGATAGATAGATAGATAGATAGATAGATAGATAGATAGATAGATAGATAGATAGATAGATAGATAGATAGATAGATAGATAGATAGATAGATAGATAGATAGATAGATAGATAGATAGATAGATAGATAGATAGATAGATAGATAGATAGATAGATAGATAGATAGATAGATAGATAGATAGATAGATAGATAAACACACAGGTGTGTGTATGTAATTTATTTTTTAATTCAAGGAATGCTAGACATTTAATTTTTTCTAGCATTCAGTGAAACCAAAGTTACTCACTATATCGCAGTTTTTTTTATTAAAGTCATTTATTTATTCTTATGCTGTAACTTTTGTCTCTTGAAGAATTTGCTCTCCTCGAATCTGAAACTCTGGGAACCATTTCACCTCATTTTCCTAACAGGTATTTGTGAATTGTCAAGAATTGATCCCAGTGTTTTCTCACTTCTGCACTCCAATCAGCTTCCACGGCAGCTAGATAAATTATCGTAGGGTTTGTTTAGCATCATATGACAAGGAACCTGAGTTTCATGTTGGCAGATTGACTAACAGCAACAAGAAAGTGAGCTGTTGGCACGTCCTGACATGAGAGCATGTGGCGCTTTGATGGACTTTGTCACACAGTGAAATTCAACACTGACACGTTACTAAGTGACAGCTTTATGCTCACAGATTATGGTGTTTCCTGGAGACTCGTGTAAAAAATAACTTGGTGCATTCTGGCTTAAAATGGAAGTTTTTTTCACTGGTGGCAATATGTTGCTAAATAATTACAAACATCTGATCTCGCCTCAGACGTGCTCAAAAATTGCATACCCTTTAAAAAGTACTTTAATTGATTTACCAGAGTCATGCATACAGCTACATACTAACACTTCAGACTGAAAACAGATGCATGCACTGCAACTAAAACCGAGAAATGTTTGCATCGTCAAAGGTCTATGAACTCTGCAAACTTACATGATTCACTCTGTGTCTTAAAAACAACTGAATATGCAACAAATAAAAAACAGCTTTTTCTCAGTATGTTCAGTTTCCCCCTGAGAAATGAATAACAATTTAATTAAGAACTCCTGAAACACATCTGAATCGTGTTGTTGCTATGGATACATGAACATTTACGACCGTGGTGTTACATTTGAATCATTCCTACAGCCACTGTTGCAAATAATTACAGAGTTTATATCAGTGTTTGCTTTTTTTTTTTTTTTTTTTAACTATATTTTCCACTACAATGTAAAATGTGTTTAGTAAAATCTGGTGTTTTTGTTCCAGCAGGATGATGTATTGGTGCCATTAAACCTTACAGCCAGTTTAAAGCTCTGCTTCTGTAAGCAGATATCACATTTCTCCTGGGTCAGCCTCCCTACATCAGCTTCCTATAAAGTTTAAAATTCCATTCAAAATCATCACATAGAACGTTCTTAATGGACAACCTCTATCCTACATGAAAAATTGTAATTCCTATCACAACTCAAGATGTATATGATCCCATAGGTTTATTTGTTACCAAAGTTCTTGAGATTAGATTGGGAGGCAGAGCTCCTCTCTATGTGTTGTTTTTATTGATAATTGTGACAGTTTTATAATTTGTTCTTAACTTTTAATATTTGCCCTGCTTTAATTTCATGTTCCTTTAAGTTTGGTCTTTATATAACATTAATCAAGTCTAACAGCTTAACTCAAATGTTTGAAAGTAGACTTCTATGGAAATGTTATGAACAAATAATGTCTTACCTGTTGTAGATGGGCGTTTAAACTACCTCAGTTTGGAAAAATATAGACTATTTTGACAGAAGTGACAAACTAATGATCTCAAATATTTTAGTTGTTCACATAAATTTCTATTTAACAATCTTTTTCAGTACAATCAATTTCACATTGCATGACTTTTTTTTTTTTTTTTTGGTCTGAAATATTATTCTTGCCTGAAGTGTCCTTGGCACAGGAAATAACTATGCATTTTGATGTAAAATAAATAAATAAATAAAAATAATTAAAAAACAACATTTGGCAACACGGTGATGCAAAGATTTATAAAACTGTGTTTGTGATTTATAAAACATGTATGTATTAAGACTGCTTTTTAATATATTGTATTACTTTAAATTATTAGTGTTTAGCATATATCTTAGATCCTTGTATATATTTTTCTTTTTATACTTTGTATTTTTGCTATTTTTGGGTGTAACTGGGACCTTGGGTACACAATTTTGTTCCACCTCATGTACCACATGTGATGTGAATGACGACAAAGAACCTTGCACAAATGGCTATGATAGTTTTGAAAATAAAGTTGCTTTAAAACAGCAGTGACTCACTTCGGTCCATGTTTTCCCCAAACTGAGGTCATTCAAAGAGCAACCTGCAACAGGTAAGATGTTAACTGTTCACAACATTGCCACCTAATCACACTTAACTAGGGGCCAATCCATTTTTGATTAGTGGCCTTTAACTTTACACACCATGCTATGACGCTTTGGATCTCTTCAAATGTCAAACTAATAAACATGTTTACAAGACAAACATAATTTAACATGACATTTATGTGTTTTTTTACACCAACTTTCGCCCTAAAGGACCGTTCAACAGTCGCACCTCGGCCGGAAGTGACGTATGTGGCCACGAGCGTGACGAACGCCTCTTTCGAAAATACAACACGGAAGTGGCCGTTTATTGTAAAGAGAAAATAATCACGGAGAAAAAAAAATCTCCTCTAACCTGGAGAGGAGGGTCGCCCTGCATGTTCGTCAGGTGTCGGGAGAGCTCCAGCCACCGTGGACTTGCTCCAGAGCCCGTTTTTTTCCGATCGACTCGAAGGATTCTGCTTTGTAGCCAGCTAGCCTGCTAGCTAGCGATGAACACGGACGTGGAATTTCACATCAGGCAGAATTATCCGTGGAACAAGCTCCCAGCTAATGTCAAACAGGTACCGTGTTTTAAACCTTTCCCCCTGGGCTGAGTCACTCTGAGGGAGGGGTGGCAGGAGAACGGAGCGGTGACCCGGGCTCGGACCTGTGTGTCATTGATTCAGGCAGCTGTCAGTGTGTCTCCTCTGCAGGGCTTCCACCATCCATCCATCCATCCATCCAAAGCCATAACTGACCGTCATCCCTCCGAAGCCGCTGCCTCTCAGCTTAATTTCAACGGCATCAAATGATTGCTTGAGGCGCTACTGTTCCACATGCACATCTGTCATTCACTCCTCCATGCAGAGAAGGTGTTTTGTCCTTGTACCGTAGCAATAATATGATGACGTCGGTTTGTTCCATGGAGTCTCCTTATATTCTACTAGAAATGTTACATCTCGTGTGCGTGTTACAGTTTACCCTCATAAAATGGGACAAAATTCAAGCGTGATGCTTGTCTGTTGATAAATGCTGATGCAAATGGAAATTTTAAGGATTCACCCCTTTTTCCCCCATTGCAAAACATTTTTTGTTGTGTGATAATAGAGATGAATGATATCAACAAGTATTTCCATGTAATGACACCTCACTCTTTTCAATGGGGTTTTGGGTGGGTAACAGAGGAGAAGCAGCAGCGAGGTGGATGACTGAAACTCTTGGCTTGTTATGCTGCCTTAGGCTAAGACTACTGGAGGACAAATTGACCACATTTCCTGAAATGAATTGTTAAAATTGAATAGTTTTCATTTGATATTATTTTGGCAGCATGGTGTCGCAACTGGTAGAGCTGCTGCCTCTCAGCGAGCAGGTTACTCTGGTTCAAATCCTGGTCCGGAGGCCTTTCTGTGTAGAGTTTGCATGTTCTATCCGTGCATGCGTGGGTTTTCTCCGGGTACTCCGGTTTCCTCCCACAGACCAAAAACATGCATGTTAGGCTGATTGGTAACTCTAAATTGTCCCTAGGTGTGAGTGAGAGAGTGAATGGTTGTTTGTCTCGTTTGTCTCTATGTGTCCCTGTGATGGATTGCGACCTGTCTAGGGTGTACCCTGCTTCTCGCACAGTGATTGCTGGATAAGGGCACTGGCGACCTCCGTGACCCAAAAAGGAAGATGCGGGTAAAGATAATGGATGGATGGATGATATTTTTTCTTAACTTGTGATTCTCAGTGGCACCACAGATGAGAATGCTGATGGAGAAGTACAAAGAGGGTCAGAAAGAACTCCATTGTGTCTTTGTGTATTTAGAAAACACATATGACGGTGCTGAGGGAGGAGGTGTGGTATTGCATGAGGAAATCTGGAGTGTCAGAGAAGTACATTAGACTGATACAGGACATGCATGAGGACAGCAGGACAGTGGTGAGATGTGCTGTAGGCGTGATGGATAGCTTCAAGGTGGAGGTGGGAGTGCCTCAAGGATCAGCTCTGAGCCCCTTCTTGTTTGCTCTGGTGATGGACCGACTAACAGATAAGGTCAGGCAGGAATCCCTGTGGACTCTGATGTTTGTAGGTGATATTGTGATCTGTGGTGCAGAGGTCACAAAGGTGCAGGACTTCAAGTACTTGGGGTCCACTGTCCAGGACACTGGGGAATGTGGTAAAGAGGTGAAAAAGAGAGTCCAGACAGGATGGAGTAAATGGTAAATGGACTGTACTTATATAGCGCCTTTCTGTCTTATTTCAAGATATTCAAAGCTCTTTACAACAATCTGTGTCCTCATTTACCCATTCATACAGCACTCTACTAGATCTCTACAAAACTTGAACAAATCATTCTAATGAGACTAATCAGTGCTTTAGATCACATTCATACACTGATGGGACACACATCAGAGGCTATGAGGGATTCAGTGTCTTGCCCAGGGACACTTCAGCATGTGAATGCTGGTGGATTCGAACCCCCAACTCTCGCATTGGAGGACGACTGCTCTAACCACTCAGCCACAGCCGCCCAGTGGATGTGGAGTGGATGGAGAAAAGTTTCAGGAGGGATTTGCGACCAAAGGGTGTCAGCAAAGGTCAAAGGAAAAGTTTACAAGTCAGTGATGAGACCAGCTATGTTGTATGGTCTGGAGACGGAGACATTGACAAAAAGACAGGAGAAAGAACTGGAAGTGGCAGAAATGAAGATGTTGAGGTTCTCCTTAGGAGTGACAAGGATGGATTATTAGGAATGAGATCATCAGAGGTACAACACAGGTTGAACAACTGAGAGATAAAGTTAGAGAGGCCAGACTGAAATGTTTGGACATGTCCAGAGGAGAGACTGTGGGTAGAAGAATGTTAGAAATGCAGCTGCCAAGAAAAAGACAAAGCAGAAGGCCAAAAGGAGATATATGGATGCAGTTAGAGAGGGCATGGAGGTACAGTAGTTGGAGTGAGACAGAGGAGGGTGACTCGCTGTGGCGACCCCTGAAGAGGGAAAAGCCGAAAGAAAAAGAAGAAGGTGTGATTCTCAACCTGCCATTGTGTATCTGTTCCTCCTTCCTGTTCCTCTCAAACCCAGCCTGTCGTAGCAGACGGCCACTTGTCCTGAGCCTTGTTCTGCTAAAGGTTTCTTCCTCATGAGGGAGTTTTTCCTTCCACTGTCGCTTTCATGTTTGCTCAAGATGAGAGTTCTGTGATGAAGTTAAACTCAAAGCAGTCTGCTCCTCAGATAAATAATGTTATTAGCTTACTTTTTATGTATGAATGTTTCTGTTCAGTGCCCTGATGCTATATAAATAAACTGAATTTGAAGTGAATTGGTCTCATCACTACTCTCATAACATTTTGTATGTGATTTATCATCCTTACCTCTGTCATTATTTGAAATTCAGTTAATTCATTGCATGTTTACATTGTTAGTGTTGTTGCGATATATTGTGTATCCCGCACTGAGCAATCTATGTGGGCAACATTTGATTTTGTAAGTAAGTGAAACATGATTTGGGATTTCCGTTTATGTTGCTTGTATTCTCAAAACTGATACGTGTTCAATAGTGCACATCTATTATTTAGTGTATCCACAAATATGAATGAGCGCATAAATCATTACATCAACGTTTTTCTTTACATTTAAAACATCAAATTTTGTGTTTCTATGTTAAGCTCAGAGTCTAGAAAATAATTCAGCACAAAAAATGGTGCATGCTGCACAGCCGGTAGAGGGAAAGCAGGGTCAAAAGAGTTCCTGTTATATCCTGCTGCCTTGCAATGCACCGGTAATCCTTTCTTGATCCTCACTGTTTATTTTTTTTGTTTTTGTTCCCTTTGCAGAGTTTGGGGAACTCGCAGCGTGAGTACGAGAAACATGTGCTCCTGTACAGCATCCGCAACCAGCTGCGATTCCGCAATAACCTAGGTGAGCAAGTTTGTCCTTCACACTGGGGATAAATGAGTTTGGAATATGTTTCCTCAATGACAAAAAAAAAGAGACATTTCCAATTAATATCACTGTAAAACCTACATTTTTATATAAGCTGTTAAGTAGCTCTTCATGCACTTAAAGTAATCATTTGTGCTCCTTCCCTTGTGGTCCTCTAGTGTTAGATAAGTAAATCTTTCTTTAGTCCATATTGATCCGTTATGGATTGTCTGAAAGTGTTTCTTTATAAACCTTCGCCCCTGGCCGCGACCTGACTGCTGTTTGGGTTTTAATTAACAGTTCGCCACGTGAAGAAGGATGAGCGCAAGTATTACGAGGAGCTGCTGAAGTACAGCCGGGACCACCTGATGCTGTACCCGTACCACCTGTCGGACATCATGGTCAAAGGGCTACGAGTCACTCCGTTCTCGTATTACATAGGAATCATGGAGGTGAGCAGATGACAGAAGACTGTTTGTTGAGGATGTGATCATCGTGACTTTTCTGTTCAATTTGTCTGCGAGCTGCCTTTTTTTTTTTTTTTTTTT